CCGAAACGTCTGCTAGCGTTGTATCGTATTGTGTTTTTCTATTGAAGTAAATGTATGCTGTTTAAAAACTTCGTTATGTTTCTGTGTCCCATGCGCGCCTAGGGAGTGTCTGGTTTTAATTTAGATTTCTCGGCTAGGTGTCCTTTTAAGCGGACGCAGGGAGGTCTACCCGTTTCCCCCAACGTATTCGTCCCTACACACTTTAGAAGAAATTATGTACAGCATACCAGAACTCATGCAATCGCCATCTCTACCGTTAAGGTGAATTATGCAGTTTTTCGTTGTACACTGTCGATCATATAGGTGATTACGAACTAGCTCATGTTTTAGAGAGTCCGATGGTATTTCTATCACTCTTACCGAATTGCCTAGACCCGCCCTTCTTAAGCATCGTTTTCTACCTGCACTTCTTTCGTTCAAAATAATGGGCAAGATGGACGGAGCTCTGTATTCTCTAGAATTATAGTTTCGGACCTGCTTTTTCTTTTATGCCTATGCCGAGAAGGTACAGTTTTGTTGCTATTCGAAATAGCTATTTGTGGCGCCAATTTCAAGGGTTCTTCCTTCTCTTCCTTACCTGTGCACACGCTGGTGACGGTTCAATTTCTTATAAGCACCATTTTGATGGGTGAGAGTTAAGCGGAGAGGTGATGAACCGTTATGTTTTTACTATTTGGCTTTCGGTACCATTTTCTAATGTAGCCGGTTTCGAATAGGTTAATTTGAATGTTCAAAAGTGGAAGCCAGTTTTCCTACGGTACCTCTCAGGTGGATTTTATTTACTCTGACTGTTCATTCAATAACTCAAAGCATTTGTCCATCTCCTCTTGTATGGAGTAGATGACAAAACAATCATCTGTATACCTACAGTAGAGTAAGTGCCTGAGATCGATTACTGGTGCTTTCACATTAACCATAAAGGCAACGGCGAGGCTCGGTTCCAGTCGCTGTCCTATTGTCAATCATCTAATCTGTGCGTAATATTTCCCGGACCATCTGAAGATTCAGGCAGACCTTTAAGAGGACCATGAGCTGTTGAATCGACAAGCCATACATGTTTATTATTCTTTCGTGTTGCTCAAGAAGCTCGCGGATGGCTTGCATTGTGGAGTCGTTCGACACGTTACTGTAAAGGGCGGTAACGTCGAACGACCCAATAACGTACGCTCTTTTGGGACGCGCGTTACGCAGACGGTCTAGAAACATTCGGGTGTTCGTGAGACTGGTATGTGCTTAAGCAACTGGATGAGAATTAGATTTATAAACCAAGCAATTCTATCGGCTCGTCTACACAACTGATGATGGGTCTAACTTTAAAGGTGGAGTGATCGGTAGACGCCAGATCATCAGCGGGTCTTAACTTATGGGTTTTGTTCACTAAGTAAAAGACGGGACAAGTTGGCACCTCGATCTTACGATTCGAAATGGTTGATGGTTATAAGCCTGCTGCGTATACCACTTGGGCCCATTCGTTGTTCAATTTTCGATGTTGACCTTCGAATTCCTTTTCATTTGATGCACTATAAAGCGAAGCGTCTTCAAGATGTTTTTACGTTATCTCACCATCTTGATGGCAAGAAATTACCACACATACTCTACCCTTATCACTACCTAACAGTTTTCGACTTTATTAGTTCCCAAACCTGTCGCATACCAGGTTTTTTGCGATGCTGTAAGGCTGGAACTGAATTTTCTCACGCAATAGCGGTTAGACTTTCAGAGTCTCCATCAAAGATATGCGAAATTTGCTAACTATTTCATCGTCCGTCAGGGTCTTGTTGTCTGAAGAACGAGATGCGTTGCATTTCTGCATACTTTCTAGGAGAATCACTCTGCCTGATGACATTGAGTATATGAGAAAAGGTGCTGACCAGGTACCACCATTGACCTGTTGAAAAGTCCCACTTGAAATTGCTCCAACTGCCAAGATGCGTGTTCTCTAAGCGCAAAACCGTACAAGCTGGACAACTTTCAATGTGATATGGCCATAAGCAACAACGATGCCTTGCATTTCAGTATACTTTCTAGGAGAATCACTCTGCCTAATGACAGTGAGTATATGGAAAAGGTGCTGATAAGCTACCACCGCTGTTCTGTTGAAAAGTCCCACATGAAATTAGTGTAATTGCCAATATGCGAGTTCCTAAGCGCAAAACTGGACAAGCTTACGATACTTGGGATTGTTGAGTGTTGTAAATAAGAACGGCCGTGACATGTTTGACATCAGTTACTCGGTGAGGGAATGAGAGCGTTTTTGAGCCCTGGCGCTTTTGTTAAAACACCTTATTAATAATGAACCGCATCACTACTGCTGCCCTTCCCGCCCGTTTACACGTTTGTGCAGAATTTAATTCTAACATTTTTAAATTTTTATTTAATACTTACTCTTTTCTTTTCATGGGAAGGTATTACGTTAAATACAGCAACACAAATGTCGAGATTTGATTCAAACTCATATGCCCAGATGGGCTTCGAATACGCGGTTACCATTTTCCTAAACCTTATGTTCTATCCACCTCAGCAACCAAGGCCCTCGCTTTCCTTTTCGCTTTACCAGTTTTTATCCTAGCTATGCTATCAGCAATCAACCGTGAAAGAGAATGATCTGGCGCGATTACCCTGTTAAGTGTTCGAAGCCGAGCTCCGTGTGCTTTCGGACATCTCGGCATTCTTGTGGTTTTACCCGTGACCTTCCCAATTTGTTTCTGGTTGTTTCGAAGATGATTCATGACATGCTGTCGCGCCGCAGTCCTTTGAGGAGTTACATCCTGTCATTATTTGTCAAATTTTAGTTAGCATCCTTCCCTTCATGAAGGATAGAAAGGATGAAGCTCGCGACGTTGATAAATCCGTGAAGGGTGCGCCATGCGTTCCACTTCACTAAACATCGATGGAGGTGATTAAATGCATATCTGGCCCTTACAATGCTTCCCGGTGGCGTATCGTTGTATCGAGACAGTGCTGCTATGCTACCAGACAAGTCTGGTACCAATTGCCAACCCTGGAGGAAGGAAGGCGTGGTGAGCCTGAGGTGCCGGGATCGATCCCATGTGTATTGCAGGGCGCATCTGACCTCTGCGCCGTACAGACGCTGCTCTTGGCCGAGTTTCCCTTATCCACCCTTTAGCGATGGGTCAGATGTTTCCCCACTCGCAGATCACATGTTTCTCTGTTGTGGTGATCGTTTGGTTGATTTGTGATTATTTCCCTGGGGTATTGTTTATGGTTCTGTTTCGTGCTTAGCAATCAACTTTTTTTGTCTATACTTTGTTGATCTGTATAAATGAATTTGTTGAGGCGGTATTACTTTTTTATGTCATTGTTGAATTGCGTAGGATAGAACCAAGTTGGGTGGCTGATTAATACAGTCATGGACTTCATGAGTCTGCTGGATACGGCTAGCAAAAATGCCGAGAATGTGTCGAAGAAGCTGGACGACTTAAAAACTGAAGTGGATAGTGAACGACGTGCCGAACTCAGACGTATAGAGGCGGAGAGAATTAAGAAGACGGAAATCCTTAATAAGAAGAAGAAGATATTCCCACCGAAACCTATTCAGGAGGAAAGAAAGGTTGCAGTTTTCATTTTTCGTATATTCCTCTGTTCTGACCTTGCTGATTTTTCAGTTCGTAATTCCAAAAAAGGACAAATGTGATGATAAGGATGATAAGGCGAAAGTGATGGCTTATCTTGCGAAGAAATCCGAAGAAGAACGTCGGCTGCTGATGAAAAAGAAAGCCGAGAAAGAAAGACTTATCCAACTGCGTTTGCAGGCGAACGGTGGAAAGGTGTGAATTGTTTTCCTATTTTCTTGTTATGTTATTTGTAAACAAATCCTCCTCAGTTGTTTTTTTAATGATGTATTATTTTGAAAAACAGCGCTTACAAGCTCTGCTCACTAATTTCTACGTGTCGACTTTTTCATTTTCTGGCCTATTTGATTATCGAGTAACTCTTATGAGAACCTGTAAATTTCATTTATCCCCTTTGGGCATTGGAATTGCTCAGCGGGTCCCACTTGCTCGAGTGGCTCAAAGAGTATCACACCTTTGTATGATACCCTTTCCCTTTACTCATTTCATTGAAAATGCAACCACAAGCAGCTCGCAGAGTCTTGCTATGGGCTTCAGGATGAAGGTACCAAGGTTTTTCCTAATATAACGGCTCTGATGAGGCTATACATCGTGGTTTGGGACCCCGAAACAACATGAGCTGCAAGGAGGTGCCAAACTCTTAGGGGAATTTGGTTCTAGTGCGATCTGATCTGGAAGTACTTGTGCTGCAGCTCCATTATTACGAGGTACACCTTAATTCCAGCACGAATCTCGTAGTACGTTTTAGCATACTTCTACCAAAGGGACTCTTATTTTTCTCGCAAACATTCTGTCTATTAGCTTTCCTCGATAGTTATAAGTTGAGCTGCACTAGTCATAAAGTAACTTACCAGACTTCTACTTTTTGACAACCTGGGACGTTAAGATTATCAGCTTATTGCCTTACCATTGCTCAACATCTTTTCATTCTTCACTTTGTGCTCAACATTTTATTGCGTATTTTGCAGTTGGATTAACTCATGGGTAAACTAGAGCTTATTTTTTCATGTTAGCTTTTTTAAATTCAGTTATTAGTAATGTGCATCTTTTCTCGGGGTGCACATGGCGCAGTGGACGGAAGCGCGCTGAAACACACATGGGATCGATCCCAACATTCCAGACTCACCAACCCTTCAGTCCCTCCGGGATCAGCAAATTGGTAGCAGACTTGTCTGGAGAGATAGCAGCACAAGCTCGATACATCGGTATTCCACCGCAAGTCATTGTAAAGCCCAGATGTGCATTCATTTACTCTTAATGATGATTATTGAAGTTGAATGCATGGAGCATCCCTCAGAGCTTGATCAACACTGAGAGCTTTGTCCTTTGTTTTTTATATCTTTTATCTACTGCTTATTATTTTTTCCCATAGCAAGGTATCATATGAAATAGAACCGCGACGATGCTGAAATATTCGCAATACTTGAACCCTAGGTTAGATCGGGCTGCGATTACCTTTTCCGGGGGCTCACGTCACGCGTGGCACCACAGGGCACTTATTCTTCCATTTTCTCAGCCGGTATTTTTAGTTATCAAAAAAATTTTTATTTTTTCTATCTATTATCTAAAAGTTATCTTTAGTTTTTTCTTCCCAGTTATTAGTGTTTCTCTCGCAATGCGGAAGGAATGGTGTTGCTACCATGATATGATACGCTCTGCGATGTTAAATAGAACTAACAAAGTCACACCCTAGGCTTTCAGGCTACGAAAAAAATGGCGAAAAATTTTGGAATGAGTGCGATAGATCTGCAAGTAAAATATGGTAACGACAGAGAACACGTGGAGCGACTTCAGAAGCAAAAATGGAAAGAAGAGGCAAGTAGTTTTGCCATCTTTAGCTTTTCACACTTTTAACAGTGGTTGGTAATCGTGGTTTTTCTACTTTTAGGATGAACAAGAAAAGTTAGCAACGCATTACAGAGATGGCGTCTACAAAGCGTTGGCTCATAAAAGAAAGCTTGACGAAAAGGTTATTCGTTGTTTGAAAATGTCTATCAATTGATACTAAAATATGCAACAGATTTCAGTCAGTTTTAACGGAAATATTGCTTCCTGCGTCCCATGGGTGTTTCCACAATGAAATTCGCATTTCTGTCGCGATATTTTAGAGAAATATATATATGCATGTGAAGTGTAGAAGTACATATATGCACGTATACGGGTATATTTGTGCACATATACAAATGTATGTCTGTACATATGGAAATTTTCTATTTCCTCGAATGTATATTTCTTTAAGGTGAGAGCAGGTGTGTTGAAGTCAAAGGAAACGCAAAAGCCGTCTACTGACAAGACTAGTGGTGTAAGTATGTCAAGCCGGCAACAAAGCGAGTCAGTGGAACTACGTATTTTATAATCTTGAAATTTGTCGGAATCCTGCTTTTTTATTCAGATATTACCAGTATTTCTGCATGTAATGTAACCTACCTATATCATCATACTCTGTTTATTGAGTCACTGAACTCAGACCAGTTTCCACCCGTATTTTCCTTAACTCGCAGGCGTTTATCAATGTGTCTTCTTTGGAATCCTCATCAACTGGTAAACAATTTGGACGAAGTTGAGCTTTCTCTGTCATATGTAATATACAGGTGCTCTATAACACCACCCTGTTGTCAACAAGATGGTGTGCCGATTGCCGTTTCATACTTCTTACGTGGCATCCATGCTTGCTGAAATGTGTAGATACAAAACCAAAGGAGTCGTGCAGTCAAGGAATTGAGACCCGTGTTGGTGTCCCCTATTATTTTCGCTGCAACTTTGACAGTTTTGTGTCCTCTCCACTCTGCGTTTCTTCTTGCATAGCAGTGAAACTAGGCCGTTCGTTGTGTTGAATTCCAGAGGCATGTATACATAGGCGGAGCGCCACAAATGTTCGTTCTATTGACCATGACTGGAGCATCAGGAGCGAATTTCATTCTTTCGTTGCAAATATGATTTCTTGGGTATCACCTGCTATCACAATATCCCACTGCAGTTATTGAATGACGATGTGGAAAATGGCACTGAAAATTCTCGATGTGAGAGCTCATTAGAGCAGTATCTTTTGACGTTTCCCTTAATCTTCCCAGTTTGCAACATGATATCCTCAGTAGAGAATTTAAATGATAGTCTACTTCTATTGTATATGCAGTTCGGCACAGTAATCTTTTTAGATTTAAGTTGCCTAGAATGGGCTGTATGACTTTTAGCGGTCCTTTCATATTCGTCTTACACTATGGTTGCAACATAAGGAGGCGAAACCATGCACTTGCGACAACTTTTCGTTGACATATGTGCAAGATTTTTATTATCGAAGAGGTCTTATCACATGTATCATCGGACTAAGATAATGGTCGCATCTTGGTCTAAGCAGGCTTGGTGGATTTTCATGCTTTATTCCTCAGTGAATGCCTTTTAACATTAGGAGTACCTAAAAGATTATTTTTATTTTTCTTTTGTTAATTCAATTCCAAATTAAATAGCTCTACTTATTAATCCTTCCGAAGTTTGGCTTTCATTGGTGTAGTGTTTTTGACTATGACGTAGACGGCTTGGCTTTATTAAAATCTTTCAAGAATTTCTTAGTAAATCGTCTTGATTTTCCACTAGATCGAGAAAATCAGTTCAATTGTCAACTTATAGTAATTATCGGCGTTCCTCTTCTGAGCCATCGAAACATTCGAAATCTGGCCACGCTGCTCCTGAAAAGAAGGTGAAACCAGCACCTGTCATAGCTTTTAGGTAAGAGTTTTTATACAACTATTAAATTAATTCACTAACATTTGTTTAATGATTCATTTTATGGTAACAGAGCACGTAAGTCTTGATGATTTGCGAATAATTTCAAGAAGAGGAGGCGGATAGCACAGTGGTAATGAAGCCGTTCATCACGAGCACGCTGCTGGTACATCCCGCTCCGTGCTCACCAAGCCTAACAAGCCGGAACCGGGAGAAAATCTTTCTCTGCGATCCAGTTGAGAGCTCTCTAGCCCGGCTATCTCAGGATTCCATGAAGAATTGACTAGACCAATATTTTACGACAGGCGTAATGAAATGAAAATCCTCAAGCAGCAGCCGAAGTTACATGTAGGAGTTGGAAGGTCTTAGTGGTTGATGGATGAAATTAAACGAATCGGAATGTAGGAAGTGCTAGGATCCACACAGTAGACGTGAAAAGCGGGTCGTTTAAAATAAAAGAAATCGATCAGTTGTAAATTGTGAAGAAAAGTTCGACGCATTCATAATTCTCTCTTGAGATAAAATTAGTTGGTTGTACAATTTTGGTGCATTCTTTTGAAAGTAACTCTTCAGATATCTGCTATATGTTGGCACATGTTTTAGTAGTTGTTTAGTGAACTCATGAAAGCCGCACAAGGCATTGCAGAAGGGAAGGATGTTAAACTAGAGCCCAAACCCATAAACAAAATTGCGCAGAAGCGGCTACCTGACTTGTGAGTTTTATAAGTGAGTTCCATCTTGTGCAGCTTCTATGTGATTACACTTTTACTTATAAGAAAAAGTTCCAGTACCGTATGCGACGTGAAATCTTTGTATATATTGCTTAAACTAGTTCTTATATGGAAGGAGCGCTGTTCTGTAGCTGTTTCACTTTCAACAGAGCAATCTATTTCTAATCGGATGCTGCGTACATGACCGAAATACTTACTAATTCCGGGCACATAATATTCAATTCCTCGAATTGGGTCGGTTATCTCTTGTTTACGTCTGATACTTCAGTTGATTTTATGCGCAATACCAAATCGTTTGATTTATCCAGATGTTTAAAGAACAAACAAAGACTTGGTTGTCCGTCAGCTAGTCCTTGCAATACTATAGACTTCATTGGAAGTGCGTCACTTCGTTCCTTGAGATATCTTCTTAAGACGGGAATAAGACAAAACATTTTGCAGAAGTTGTTGAAAGCTGTTTAACCCCTTCTCCTTCTTTTGCTGTTGTTCAAAACAAAAGATGAAGTTTGACAAGGCTTTAAAAACGTTTGCAATCCTAAACAAGAATCTCAGTTTTGTTAAAATGATTTATTTTAGTGCTGTGTTTGCTTAAGATTATTACACCACTATCGTTTTTAATTCTTTGATTGCAGTACTTTCAGTAAAAGCTCAGAAAGTGCTCTTCCACCAAAAAGACACTGCGATGACGAGGACCACAAACTTTTAAAGGACAAGTACCTATTCACTAGGACCGTTGAGACATCTAAGAGGTTATATTTACATATATAAACAATATATATACATAATATATGTGTATACATGTGAATGATGTATATATACATATGTATATATATGTATTATATATATGTATATATATATGATTACTGTTACATAAACATATGCATGTACATACCTGTAATACATTGAAGTTTACAGCCTCATTGTGGCTGGGAAGTGTTCGTGGGTGTCGGGTTGCGATGTACAGCGGGGGATTCATCCCCCAACAGGATCTAAGCTGAGAAGCTGTCAGACATTTCCATCAGGAAGCATAGCTAAGAGTAAACGAATCCAGGATCCACCACCTTCCTGGTATCAAACTAGTCGCGTGCTGGCAAATCTTCCCCACATCCTTAAGGGCTGTGAATGCCTATGGTGGTGACTACCTGGGGCAGAATTAGGCTAAGCGGACCTCGGGACTCCAGGGAACTGCAATGGCTAAACTAACAAAACTCCGAAAAAGTGGAAATTATGGTGGAGCCCACACAACCAGTGGATACTGGCCATCTAAATACCCAAGTAAGTTTTTCTCCTACTTATGAGTTTTGATCCACGGATCTCCCTCATACAAGGGATCGCGATAGCCGGTTAGTCAAGTTATGAGGCTACGTGGCGCGTCTCCAGATGGCGGATAGTGGAATAATCGCGGACCAAAAGCGACCTTTGCTTACCTGAGACGTAGGTGGATCCAGGAGCTGGACTCCTTGTTTCTGCTGCGCCGATTTGGCACATACTTTCTGTATTTATGAGGAGTATTCATGCATGCGTCGTGAGCGGGTGCGTTCTCGCTTATGCGGTTTGTATTCTACGAAATAATTCGGTCAAAAGCCTACAATCAAGCTACAGGGAACGGCTAGAAGCTGCCTCGAACAAATAACCTCCGTGTCCACCCTGGAAGAGACCGGCAAGCTACCCGTGAGTATACCTAGTCCCACATTCAGAGCCCAGCACGCAATACGTGGGTACCAAAAGGCTAAAAACAGTAAAAGAAACGGGCCTCATTCTCCTGACCCCGAAAGAGCCCTCAATTCGGCCTCGTTGGGTAGGACGAGTACGGAGAGGTGGCTAAAATCTCAGGGCCAATGGAAGCTGCCTGGATTTCAAAGAACTATGGTGACGATCTGTACCTGCAATGCACGTACACTTGCATCCGAGTCCTCGATAGATGACTTGATCATGCATGCGAGAAGGATGAGGTATGACTTCATCGGCCTGGCCCAGACGAGAAGACGCCAGCCTTTCAACGCCGTATATGAAACCGGGGAAGAACTGTTCCTCCCTCAAAACGCGCGACAGTAGAGTCGGCGGCGTCGGCGTTCTCGTCAGCACGAGTTTGTCCATGAACATCGATTCATTCGAACAACCTACAATCTGAATCGGACGTTTACGATTAAAAAGATGTGGTTCAATACCGACTTTGACAATCTTCGTCGTTTACTCGCCGACATCAAACTGTGACGAAGGAGTCGAAGCGTTCTATATGGACTTGGAGAAGTTTTGCAGAGAAGACCATATATTCTACAAGGTCATCATTGGAAATTTCACCGCCAAGATTGGACCAAGAGGAACGTCACATTGGAACCCACGGATTAGAATGGAACGAACAGGGTGAGCGACTCTCTGAGTTTATCATGGCGACCAAGACCATTCATGGTAACTCGCAATTCCAAAAACCGCAACCTCAACGCTGGACGTGGGAGTCTCCCCACTGGAGAGTGCTATAACGAAATAGACCACATCATAGTAAATAGAAAGTTTTGCTTAATCGATGTCGTTGTCGATCCAAAATTCTACACGAGTGCGGACCATCGCCTCTTTCGTGCAAGGTTTTATTTCCTGCGGAAAGGATAAAAAGCGGCTAAATTCCAAAACCGAGGTCCCAGTAACACCATAAACTGGGCTTATTCAATTAATTAGTCAGCTGTTGAGAAGATACCGTTGTCGATAACATCGACGAAGAATACGATCGGCTCATTCAGCATCTTCACGTTAGCGCTATAAAAGCTGAGAGTTCGAGTGTCACCAAAAAGTGCCTGTCTCCAGAAACACTCGAGCTAATACGCCAGCGTGGAATCGCACGAGGTGCAGGTAACCGCGAACTAACATCCGAACTTGCAAAACAGTGCAGACAGGCGATAAGAGATCTTGA